GGGGGGGGGGGGGGGGGGGGGGGGGGGGGGGGGGGGGGGGGGGGGGGGGGTGAAGTCTTGTACGGCTGCGTCATGCTCAGTTTCATTCACACCGCGGTATTTTGCTATGGACCAAGTACTGCTGTAGCCGTTGCGTCTTTCACCAACTTCAACTTGAATGAGACGAACAACACACTTGCACATCCAACATAGTTTCCGCATAGGGAGCGATACGAAACATCGCAGGAGACCATTCTCGCGAGCAAATCTTGCGGGAGAAAGCCCAACATACATGAACAAGGTTATGGTCCCCAAAGACACGCGAAATAACACCTGATCTCTCAATTTCCATAGTTTATAGTCCATATTCTCTCTTTGCCGGTCCTGCTGTACCACAAAATACCCGGAATGGTCGTCCGCACACACACACTCACATGCCAGCGCTCCTCCACCAGACTTAGGCCCGGAACGCTAAACTCCTCTCCCTCTCCGTTCTCTTCCCCTGCCCCCGCTTCACCACGGGCACCGCCATCCAGCTGTCCCTGAACACCCACACTCCCGCCATCGTTACCGTTCCCGTTAGCAACCCTGTCACCGCCCAGCCCATTTGCACTCGACCCCGCTGCTACTGCTGCTGCTTCCGCTACTGCTGCTTCCGCTGCTGCTGCTTCCGCTGCTGCTGCTTCCGCTGCTGCTGCTTCCGCTGCTCTTGCGCCACCGTTGCTGCTACCGCCGGAGACGCTGATCGCGACGGAGGGCAGGGGGGCGTTGTTTACCGCGAGGGGGGGCAGTCCTATTGACGGCAGGGAGGGGCGGTGCATGTGCTGCTGCTGTTGCTGCTGCTGCTGCTGCTGCTGCTGCTGCAGATGTTGTTGCTGGAGTTGCTGCTGTTGCTGTTGCTGCTGCTGCTGCTGCTGCTGGAGCTGCTGCTGCTGGAGCTGCTGCTGCTGCTGCTGGCGCTGCTGCTGCTGTTGGAGCTGCAGCTGCTGCTGTAGCAGTTGTTGTTGCTGCTGCTGTTGCCTGGCGGCCGCAGCAGCGTTGGCGTCCTCAGAAGCATCCTACAAAAATTGCGTGGGGGCGTGGGCACGGTGGGGGGGTCGATCAGCACCATACCATAGAATACAATCGATCACCAACGACCAGCGTGATGCAGGAGTGATGCAGGAGTCGGGGTTGAGCAGAACCCTCCTACTCTCAACTTGTGCATCCCTCCCCCTCCATGGAAAGCATCACTATCGAAAAACTGAGGCACGAGGCCCGCTCTTGGCAATGTCGCTTTTGATCTTCGAGGCAGTTCCTGGCAGCACTCTACAGCAAGTACAGCAACGAACCATGGGTGACATGACACCAGATACCATACCCCCCGGACAGATTTTCAAAGATCGGTTTACTAAATACACAGCAGATGTACTGCGGCGGTACCGAAAATGGTCGCGTTAGAAACGTTTCGTCGAGAGCTTCCCCGCAAACGTATCACATGATATACGTACGTGCATTCTCTTCATTGCGGAGCAACCGAGCTTTGGTAATCGGTCCAGGGGGTACGGTATGTTATTGTGTCACATTCGGTGTGGAGGTGTGGAGTAGCGGCACTCGAGGGGTTGCCGAGCAACGCCCGGACGAACGACTGCGGGCTAGGCGCTTGCTTCGATGGGAGGGGACAGGGGACAAACTTCTGCATTCCCTGGCCACAACAGCAGCGGAGGGTACCGTAAGTGGGGACAGGGCGGTGGGACTCGGTGTCGCACATGGCTGTAGCCAACGCTTTACTTTACCATTCGCACGGATACCAAAAATACCACCTCTCGAGAAGGCGGGTCTATACCTCGAAGGCTTGGCACGCCAGCGCGCGGAGGGTGGTAGCGTCTTGAAGCCGCGATAGCTCCAGCATGACCTCGTGCTTTCTGTTGGACTGGAACGGCACAGCCACCAACACAGGCACGGAGAAAAGACCAACGGAAAGATCGTTGGTGATAGGGTTGGGACTGAGGTTGCTGTGGTTACGGATACTTTGCGATTGTTTGCGATAGGGCTACATAAGACTTGAGCTAATAGGGTTACGGTTCGGGCTTCAGGGTTCTTGTGTATGGTGATGGCAGTGTTGCTGCGGTTGTCACTCGAGAGCTACTACTTGGGGAACGAGATGTATGCGGTGTTCCTTCCCAGCGGAATGGTGATCCAACCTGCAAGAGGCAGAAGAACGAAGGAGAAACTCCATGCAACACAGCATTAGTGGAAACGGGGCAGAGGGGTCATGACTCTAAAGGTGAGGACCTTCATTTCTGCCCACCGAGACTGAGATATGAAGCCACACCATGCCAGACCGTACCATACCAAACCATACCAAACCATACCAAACCATGCCATACCATACAGGAGAATATCAAACCGTACCACACCATACCACACCATGCTATATAGGAACAAATCGAACCGTTCCACACCATATCATACAACGGCGTTCTATACCATTACACCATACCTCGGGAACGCTGTTCAAGACAATCACCCGGACATGCTCCCTCCACAGATCGAGCACTGACTGCGGCGAGCGTGGCGGCACGCTCGTGCCGCATGGTCGAAGGAACGTCAACCGGACGCTAGCCACGCATGGCTCGTTCTGGGGTGAGGGGAAGGGCGGAGGGGGAGACCATGCGGTGAAAAGCTTGCGCTGTTGTTGTTGGCGTCGTCGCTGTTGTAGGAGATGGGTGAGACTAAACACCACAGACGCCGTTTCAATACCACAATCGCCACACCACACAAAACGACGCCCCCCCCCGTCAATACCTCCCCCCTGTGTTTGCCATCGGGGTTGGGTTTTCGTCGCCTGGCAACGACGTTGTAAAACAAGCCAACTCACCTCGTGAACTCGGCAACCAGGTAACCGTTTTTTTCGTTTACCTCCGTTTTCTTTTTTTGGCGATAACTATAATGGTGGTCGAGTAGATCATGTTGTGCGGGGTCGAGAATCCTCACTCCGCGCAAAGAGGATGATCGCACCACGTTGTGTTTAGATGGTCAAGCACCCTTGAGGCAGTTACACAGTGCTTACAACTGTCCTGGAAGTGAAAGCACCAGAGAATAAATTAAGTCATACGCAGCTGTCATCCGTACGCAGGGAAGTAAGCACAACATGCCGAACACCCATTACAGGATGCAGCGCACCCTTCATGCGACTCGCCGAATATCTCACGGCGCTTCGCGCTTGGTGATGTGAGAGCCTGGTCCGGTGAGAACCCGGCGTGCTCCGTCCCGGCCTTGTAGGGATGCGAGGTCAATGGTCTAACGACTACGGCATGCACGACTATATGTACACCTCCCCCCCCGTCAATATCTCCTTCCCCCTGCCTAGATGCGGCGCCGCCCCAGTAGAGAAACATAAAGAGCAACAACACCAAGCCCCGATACTCTCCCTCCAAGGTCCGTGGGTAGCCCCCGAGCAAGCACTCACGCATTTCGAGTGTGCCTTGTCCCCCAAGGCCCCAAGGGTGTCCTGCGTTGCTGGCAGGCCGTCCACCAGGGTGACGACATCCCCGTCCCTCATTCCTGCCGCGTAGAGGGCCCGCTCCACCGGCAGAAAAGCCTGCGTGTTTGACAATCAATTTGTTCGATGAAGGTATTTTGAGCATTTTTTTTTCCTCGTGTGACCAATGCGAAGCGGCACGCAAGATCATGTGACATTGTGCTTCATCAAGCAAATGAAAGCTACAACACGGAGCACGGAACGCCCCTCCCCACACTGCACCACACGTGAACAATCAAACAAATGGATGATAGAAGAAGGAGCACACCCCACCCCACCCCGCCCGCCCACCCACCCACCTGCAGGGCCCCCAGGAGCGAGAGCATATAAAACCCCACCCACCCAGCGGCGGAGCCCCCGTGAGCCAAAGCACATACCACCCCAGCTACACCCCACCCACCTACCCACCCACCTGCGGAGCCCCCGGGAGCGAGAGCTCTCCGAGCCCCTCGTCCGCCCTGAACATGGTGCTCTTCATGTACATCCCCGCCAGGGCCTCCACCAGGCGGCTCTGCGCCGTCAGCAGCTGCAAGGACATCGTCTCGCACGTCACGCCTACCCTCCCCTGCCGCCCGCTCGCCTACGTACGCCGCCCACAAGTCGAGGGTGGTGAAAAACAAAATAACACACGTGTTGCATCCATACATACATGCCCCATTGAAAATAAACTTCAGTGACATACTGAGGAACTCAAGTGTTGATCATGCCAAGGATAGTACGCTGTCACCCATCCTTTTTTCCGTGTTCGTACCTTGCAAGGATAATCGCTTTCTGCCAGCACGAGTCGGGTGTTGACCGCCGGCATTTATGTATACTTGTTTCGTATTGAATGGACGCGTCGTCCCATATGTTTGCTGAATCAATTTTGCTGCGGAGACTACTGGCCCAAATCACGGATTGAATAATTCGTCCCATATGTTTGCTGAATCAATTTTGCTGCGGAGACTACTGAGTAATTAAGAACATCTGATAGAGAGGCAAGTGTTACACAACCCTCACCACGAAATTCCACCGATTCCATACTTCACAATCCAACATGTTTGCTGAATAAAAACCCGCGGAAGTGTCCACCCACCGGGATAAATAGCATCGTCTTCCTTTCCCCCGTTGGGAGCGCCTCCTGCCCGACGTACCAGTGTGGCTGACCGTTCGCCAGCAGGCGCAGTAACGCCACACCGGAGGGCTCCTCCGCTCGATGCAGCTGAGTGTTATTCCGGTATATGTAACCATGGAAGAAACCATGGAAGAAACCGCAGAAGCGGCAGCGGCGGGAAGATAAAGGAATTTCATTGAAAATTCGGTGTAAGGCTCGGGTCGACGAGTAGCACACAGCGTGGTAGCACCAGCAGGGTAAGAAGCAACAGCGGTAGCAGCAACAGCACCAGCAGCAACAGGGACAGCAGCGCTGGATCTGCAGAAGTGGGTTTCCTGGAGTTGACGGTCGGTTCACGTCTGTGAGTCCTGCGCAGATTCTTGGCAGGTAGACACCCACGTTTTTTCATGTACACAAGACAAATTAACATGTCTTGAAAATGACAAGAGGGTACCACGGTACGTAAAACAAACCGGGAATAACCGTAGCGGACGAGACGACCCAAGCAGCGTGAGCATACCACCGTCTTCTTCACCACGGTTTGAGAAACAAGAACAAAACGTAGGATCTGACCAACGACCGCCGGAGAGCGCGAGCCACATACCCCAATAGCACCGGCGGGAAGACACCCGCCAGGTCAAAGAGACCATGGGCGAATGCACCGCTTGTGTTGAAGGTTTTCAAAAGCAAACGCCAACTACATTGCAATCTGCGCCACCACAGCTGTAGTAGTCATTCTGGGGCTGGAGGTAACCCCGTGTGAACACCCCCCCACCCCGTACAAGTAAAGTCTCACAACAGAGGCATAAGCCCGGCCGCTCACGTATCGCCTCGCAGGGTTGGGCTGGTCTGGCTGTCGCTGTCGCTGCTGTTGCTGTTGGAGCTGCTGCAGGTGAATTTGTTGGTACTGGTTCTGCTCGAGGATCTTCTGCTGTAGCGCCCCCTCCTGCCGCTGCTGGGGAAGCTGCTGCCGCTGCTGCTGCTGATGTTGCTGTTGTTGCTGCTGCTGTAGCAGCAGCTGTTGCTGGCGCTGTTGCTGCTGCGCGTGCATAACATCCTGCGGGGTAGAGCTCCTACGGCTGCCCATCGAAACACCGGCTGCTGCAGCAGAGTCTTCCTCGACGACCTGAGATCGATCGTACACCACCGCCGACGGAGGGGGGACAGGAAAATGTGAAAACATCGAAAGTGCGTGAGACGGAGAAGCCGAAAACCTTGTCCACCTACGACCAAAGCCCGCTACCGCTACTGCGTCTGGTTCCTTCGCCTACGGCAGGGTGTGTGTATGTGTGTGTTGGAACGCATGTGTGGGGGCCCTGATGCAATAATCGCATTACTACCGGCGGAAAAAATATATATACTTCCATATGGTCCGTTCGGGCAAATATTCACAATACTTTCGCCTGCACAAAGGTGCACTTTTCTTGGGGTGGGGGTACGTATTCCGAAATCTGAAAATACCGCGTAAATCGACGTTTCAAGGCGCATCTTCGTACGGAGATTTTTTTATTTCTTTTCGTCCTTCGCTCGATATGTTCAGATATTCAAGAAATCTTGCTTATTTTCTGGAGGGCGGTGTTTTTTGCAGACACAAAATCTGAGACCGGATTTGGACAGCTCTCGTGATTTGCCACCGATGATTTTTTTCCGATTTCCAATTTGACAAAAAATAACGGAGTTATGGGCAAAAGACCGGATATTGGAGGGTATTTTGCTTAGTTTCTTGGGGACAATCCAACCGTACGATTCAAAAATAAAGTGCTGCAATCGATTCCTCTCATGATTTCCCACCGATGATTTTTTTCCGATTTCAAAAAAAAACTCGGGTTTCGGTAATATTTCGGGTGGTTTCACACGCCCTCGGGGAATTTTTTCCCGCCACACACACCAGAGGGCACACACACGCACACCCTTTACGCACGCAACGAAAGACGCACACGCGCTCCGGGCACATGGGTCGCCCAAAGGGTAAGCGCAAGCTGCCAAGGAACGCCGACGGCACGATTCGGAAGGCCCCTTCGCCCCCTGCGGACCCTGCTGTAGGCAACGACTCTCCTCCCTCTTCCGACCATGAAGGCGCCAATATTTCTCCCATGCACACCAACGACCACGACGACGACTGGCCCCACCGCCGTTCTCATCGGCCTGCCGAAAGGAGGAAAGCAGCTGCTCATGGAGATGGGGCTGTGGGAAGGCGAGCCAACCCTACGCGTTCACGAGTGCAGCGCGTGCAGGGCGGAAAAGGCGGCAACAAGGCAAGCCATTACCGCCTTCAACCGCGGTGGAGAGGGGCGGCAGCAGGTGGTGGACAACACGGGGCAGGGAGAGGAGGACGGCGGAGAGGACGGGGACTCGGGTGGGAGCGGGGCAGCTGGTGAAGCAGGCAAGAGGCGTCGCTGCTGCGTCGTGCGCGTTCTGTCTGAGCTCAAGGCGTTCAGGGAGGAGCTCAACATGGTTGAGAAGCTCTTCAAGGCACACGGGCACCTGTGCATCTTCTTGCCGAAGTACCACCCAGAGCTCAACGCAATCGAGCGATACTGGGGGTACATCAAGCACCTCCTCCGCCTCCACTGCGAGTATTCCCTTCGCCACATGCTCCAGGTCTTGCCCGGCGCGTTGAGCGGCGTACCCGCACGGTTTATCCGCGCATGGAGCAGGGTGACGTGGCTGTACATCGAAGCCTACGACGAGGGCCTGGAGGACTACCTCTAGTACCGCGATCTCAAGGAGTGGGGGAAGCACCGAGAAGCCACCGCCAGGGGAGATGCCGTGATTCAGGCGAGGGGGGCGGGGAAGACGCCGGAGCAGAAGAAGGCAGCCGAGGCGAAGGCGCTTGCGGCTGCGCAGGAAGTGCGCAAGAAGTCGATGGCAGCGACCAGGGAAGCCTTCAACACGTGGACGAGCAAGAGAGCCTCCCGGAAGGAGCAGCTACGGCTGTGGATTTTGCGCAACACGATGAATTTTTTGAGGAAATGGTTGGGCGGGCACGCTCAGGCGTGAGTGGGGAGGGTACGTATCTATATGTCGCGGTGTGTTGTAGTGTTGGTTTCTCGCGTTTAGGCGCGGTAGAGGCGTTCGTCATGGTCACCAACTCAACGCTATAGCTGTCTCTCTTGGTATCGGACTTGCTTAGAGAGAACGGATGTGATTGCTGCATGCTTTGTTTGCAGTACCTTCACCAGCCAGGGGTTGAGTAGAAAGTAAACGGCGGTATTTTATGTATGTACATATGTAACGTGTAAATAATGTAAATATGGATTGACAACGGTTTAACTGATGTTCTGAAGGCATATACGTGTAGAAGGGAGGATTTGAGGGGGGGTCGTGGTGTACTTTGGGGGCTCCGTGGGGTCATGAGGGGGTGGGGGGGTGGGGGCTCCGCGGGTCATTTTGGTCAAGTATGCCGCTGTCGCATTTCACCCAATCACCAAAAACTCATCGGTTATCGACGAAGCTCGACGCCGCGGTCACGCCCAAAGTTGTTTCACTTTCCAAATCGATTTTTTTTCGAAAGATGTCGCGAAAAACAAGATTGTGAATATTTGCCCGAACGGACCATATAAATTTCCGATTAACCGTCTCCTCCTCGTTTCATGCCAACTTTTTTTGCTCCCAAGTGCCAATATCCAGAGGACGATTTATCGAAAGGAACAAAGGGAAGCGTAGCGCTGCTCCGCATATGGAAACGCAACCCAGTCAGATACTGCTTTCTGCCGCTTTCAGCAGTGGCGACTATATCTATGTACATATACACCCCGCTGCCGGAGACGCCGCCGTTTCATTTTGTTGTGTAACGCCAGATCCATTCGAGAAAGCAGAGCAACCACACCCGTAGGAGAAACGAGCGCACGAAGCGCCTTCGTTTCCCCTAGAATATCATGCGCACCTGTATCACGTCGGCGCCCTCAACAGGTCCCCTGCTGCCTCCTCCCAGCGGCGCTCGACCTGCTCCGTTCGGCAAACCGGCACCGCTCCCAGCAGTTGTAGCGGCAGCAGCAGCAGAGGTCGCGGCAATACCAGATACGCTAAGCGGCGCCGTAAACGCCGGAGCCGCGAACTGGACTATGGACGGCACCGAGATGCCGCAGCTGACGCTGCTGCTTCGCGATCCTGCCGCCGCGGACACCCCGCCGTGCCGCGCCGCGCCCCAGCCAGGCTGCCGCTGTTGCTGCTGATGTTGCTGAGATCTGGCACCCCATCCACGCGCTGATACTGCTGCGATTGCTTGCTGCTGGGCAGTTCCCGAGTGAAACTGATGCTGGTTCCGGCCGCCTCTACCCGCACCGTCGCTGCCGCTGCCGCCCACGGCATACTGCTGTGGGCGGACCCGCCCGTCCATCTGCCGGTGTCTCTGTCGGCAGCGGTGTGTCTGCTGTTTCGCGAGAGACCTAGGGGCTCCGAGAAAAAAGACGCAGCAGAAGATGATGGTTGGCGTTTGGTCAGGACCGTCTCGGAGCCAACGCCTCAGCGAAGAGCACCGGGAATAATCAGAACTGCTGCTGCAGAAGATGGGGGTAGCGGAGGGGGACAGACTGGGCGCCTCCTCGCCCACAGACACCCACCCACCAAACAAACACAAGCAAATGGCAAAGCTAAGCTGAACCCACTGAACCTCATAGTTGGGGCTCCGCGGAATCGTAATCAAAGGCACGCCCCCAGAAACGCAGCATCCTTGCCACAGCCAGGCTCGCCTGCGGTGCAGTGGTGGACACAGAGACAGAGAAGGATACGCGTCTACACAAACGCACACGGACACTACCAGCTTGCATAGACAACTGTTTGCCCGTGGCACATTGCTGTCCAGTTGAGTTTTTCTCTATTCGACTCTCATGTCAATGGACAGCAGTGAGATCACCTGCGGCGGCAGCGATGATGGTCACGAGATGAACCCTTTTGCATCTTTCGCATTTGGGGGCGGGGCAAGAGAACCACCAACACTAGCCGCTCGGCCTCCCGGGGCTAAGAGGAAGAAGATTAAGGCCTGTGGTGAGTCATGTCGCAACCTAAAGCAAACGGTAGCATGCAAGAGGTCGAGGTGTTTACATTCTTTTTTTGAAATTCAAATTTTCGACACCAACCCAACACCCTGGATTTACATGCCCAAACACATGTATAATATGGCGAAAACAGACACACATGGTCGATGCTAGTAATAAAAACCCACACATGGCACAATGAAGAATCAAGAGAGTGCTGAGATAAAAAGCGCGATCTAAACCATGTTTCACATTGGAATGCAGCAGTGATGAGGATTTGTTGAGGATTTGTTCGGTGTGGTAAATGGAATTGTTTTATCTTCTCGAATGTTAAGCATCCATCAGGTATTTATTGCAGTCTTGGAACAAATGACTTTTTTTTGTCCGTCCATAGTGTGGGGCTCGCCCATTGCCCGTAAACAGCTTGACACTGCAATCGAGAACCAACCACGTCCACGAAGAGTTTGGTATGAATTCCCGGCATTCTGTTGCGATATACCACAGAGCAGTCCTGGTATGGTACATATATATGCGCCGGGGAAAGTTTGCCAATCTTATGCTGCGCCTGCAACCCTTACATTGTAGACGAAACAACGTGTAGCTAGACGCAATAACGAGTAACCAACCCCAGAACCTAGCGCCATCAGAGCCTGGCGACCTCGCCGATCCGTTGGAGCCGTTGTTGGGCCCGCCGCGGCCGCCGCCACCGCTGCCACCGCGTGGGAGGCCGGTGATAAAGAAATCAGTGGCTTAGGGTTTGCAAACATGTAGTCTGGAATAGCTTCCTGATGGTGTTCGCCTGCGCTTATTTATTATAGCAGCATGCTTGGTTTGTTATTTTCAGCGAACGTCAGATCTGCTGAAAAGAGGTCCTCACTATAAACAAGATAATGAGCTGATGAAGCTAATCAACAATCTATTTGTTGAAGTGACCTGTGCTCCGGCGGTAGCAGCAGCGGGCAAGCCAGGTGACAGAAGCGTGCTGTCACACCTCGTTGACAAGTGTGCGGAGGTGCAATGCGTTAGACGTGAGTCTAAGTGCAAACAAATGGAATGTGGCTGAGAGAGAAATGAGAAAAACATGCTGTACAATTGTGTTGTATCGCTGAGCTGGGCAGGAAATAGAGTGAGCTCCGGTAGGGGGCGTGCTCTCTGCCTGGTGAGCGTTTTTGTCGATTACCGACGAAACCACGAAGAACGTTTTTTACCAATCAGTCTCGAACCGTTCTGGAAACGTTCCGGGGACCAAATACCGTTCTGTAGCACCAAAAGCAATATTCTGGAAACGTTCCGGGAACCTCTCTAATCTTATCCTGGACTTTTTCTGAGAATTTTCCTGAGAACCGTTCTAGGAAAGTATTCCCGACCCGATCTAGCACATGTTCTACGAACCGTTGCGGAATCTACCGCATCCATCAGTGGATCGTTCCAGATACCTTCCCTGCAAAACTGTTCTTCAAAAGTTGAAAGCTTGTCATACCGCGTTTAGTGTGCCATATCACATATCCTGCAACCGGTATTGTTTGTGCTAGGACGTCGATCATGATGTACTAGTATGTTACATCGTTTCTGTGCTGTGTTGTGTTCATGAGAATACTTGACAACAGCAATCATATCACTTGAGACTGAAAGTTTTTGATAGACGGTGCCTCTTGTCACACCACACACCCACAATTTCGCGGGGTTGCAAGAGAGGCATCCATCCGCGTCTGCTTTCGTCGGCAGCCCTAGTCCAAAGCTTGCTGGCAGGACTCTCTCCTTCTGCGTAGCGCAACTTAGCAGTAGTTGGTGACGGTAGCAGCAGCAGCAGCAGCAGCAGCAGAAGCAGGGTACGATGGGGAGGGTAGGGCGAGTGCTTCCCGCCCCGCCCTGCCTCCGGCGGCGGCACCTAACCCAAGCACCCCTCGCGGCGCCCTTCCCCTTCCGGCATGAACCACCCCCCTTCGTCTAGTGGCAACATCGACAACCGTCGCTCGGGTGGGCGAAAAGCCGGAGAAGAAGGGTTGCAAGGCCGAGGCTGTCGGCGAGTTGAGCCCGGAGGAGCTGAGAGTGTTCCGGAAGCGTTGGCGCGGCATGGCCGACAGGTAGGTCTGCAGCCGTAACATACTTCGAAGTGTATCGCAAGCTCAACCCCTGTGGCAACACACCACCTGTTCGAGGGTTGGCTGTGCTCTTTGAACGCAAAAAAAAAATCGTAGATTGTTGTACTTCCGGTTCTTGTGCGGTTGGCTCAAGCCAAGTATACGTACCACCGTACAAGTTTTTTCAGAGCCAGCCGAGAGCATCCTCAACCCTCCCAAATTCGTCGGTCCTACCTGTGGGCACACATTGTGACGGCAACGAACGCGCATTACAGGGGCGCCTGCGTGGAGGACCAGCGGTTTCAGGTGTTGGTGGGCGCAGTTCTGTCCAGCCGGGCGCAAGCTTCAGTCGTGAGTTCCTCTGGTTGCCGTGTTATTAATTTAGGTTCAAAGCTTAGACGGGGGGGGTAAGAGTGTCCCTCCGACGTCCCACGAGCGGGACGCCTTGATCTGCCCTCGTTCCAGCTTGTCGTATGTAATATTTATAGTTAACAGTTTGCTCGTAGACGTGCGCCGTTGGCCCTTTGCTGCTGTACAAGACGGACCTTAGCCGCCACATGCAGGCAAGGCGATGGGGGGGGGGGGGGGGGG